GCCTTCCCTTTCTGCTGACCTCCGTAGCAGACAAAGAGCTGCTCAGAGCTTCTGAAGCTCCGGGTGCGGTCCACGTATATGTGCAGTGCTCTTACGGGACACAGCAACGCAAGGGCTGGATCTGCCTCCTCCGAGGGCAGTGCTTGCAGGTTCACCACCTGAACTCGGAAGGGAGTGGTGGGAACCTTGGGCACGTATCCAGGCCGGGGTCTCAGGACAACGTGAGAGTAGGCCGGCCCGAACACAAGGCACTCTTCGCTCACCGAAAATGCTTGAAGGTCCCCGGGACCTCTCGGTCTCTTTGAGCCGTTGGATTCAGTCGAGCTTAAGTTCCTGCTAAGACAGTGGTCCTGACCGCGCTCACTTCCATCAAGAGGGTCGGGGACCTCCAAGCATTTTCAGTGAACGAAGAGTGCTTGGATGTCCCCGACCCTCTTGATGGAAGTGAGCGCGGTCAGGAGCACTGTCTTAGCAGACAGGAACTTAAGCTCGACTGAATCCAGCGGCTCAAAGGGACCCCTCTGAAGTCCTGCCAGGACGATAGAGAGGTCCCAGGAGGGCACCAGGGGTGGCCTAGGAGGATTTAACCTTCTGGCACCCCTCAGGAACGTGATGATGAGATCGTGCTTTCCCAGGGACCGGCCGTCCACTGCATCGTGATGTGCTGCAATGGCAGCCACATACACTTTCAAGGTTCACTTCCTACACTACAACCTTTCTTGCAGGAAAAAAAGCACTACTCCAATCGTGCATCTTCGGGGGTCTTCTCGGCAAGAAGAACACCAGTTCGTGAACAGACTCCATTTCAGAGCATAGGCTTGCCTCGTAGAGGGAGCTCTAGCCTGAGTGATCGTGTTAACCACCGCAGGTGACAGATAAGCTAGGTCTGCCACGTCCCGTCCAGGAGCCACACATGGAGGTTCCAAAGGTCTGGACACGGGTGCCACATGGTGCCGAGCCCCTGAGAGAGCAGGTCCTGTCTCAAGGGGATTCGCCAGGGAGGGGCTGTCGCGAGGAGCATGAGTTCCGGAAACCAGGTCCTGGTGGGCCAGAAAGGCGCAACCAGTAAGACATGCTCCTCTTCCTCCCTGACCTTGCACAGTGTCTGTGCGAGAAGGCTCACTGGGGGAAACGCATACTTGCGAAGAGCCCGAGGCCAGCTGTGTGCCAGTGCGTCCGTGCCGAGGGGGGCCTCGGTCAGGGAGTAGTACAGCTGGCAGTGGGAGGACTCGCGGGAAGCAAACAGGTCCACCTGGGCTTCCCCGAATCGACTCCAGATCAGCTGGATCGTCTCGGGTTGAAGTCGCCATTCTCCGGGGAACGTGAGCTGTCGTGAGGGCGCATCGGCTGCACGATTGAGCTCGGTCGGTCTATTGTACTACTGTATTCCGCCAGAGAGGACTGTGGCTGCAACGCATCGTCATTTGGATTACTTTTGGTACTGCTTTTGACATTTTTGCAATAAATAAATGATTGTAATTGCATTTATCTGTCTGTCATGTTTTTCTTATACTGTACAGAAATTTTTAGGTTTATAGGTAGGAGTGGGATTAGCGATTTAACTAAAATGGTTATTTTCCTGCATATTTCGGTCAATTGCGTTTTATATCCTTTTATTTTTGCTATAAAATGGGTAGGTTAAGGTTTGGGGGGTAGGTTAAGGGGTCTAAAAATCTAAATCACTGATTGATAAAATTATAAAATGCATATTCGCTATAAAATGGGTAGGTTTAGGTTTGGGGGGTAGGTTAAAGGGTCTAAAAATCTAAATCGCTTATTGATAAAATTATAAAAATGCACTGATATGAATATCTTAATGATACAAAAGATAAGTAAATATTTTTAAATTTTTTAACTAAAAATACGTAGCGATTTGTACGTTTTAAACGTTGAAATACGTCTAAATTGTACGTTTTAGCACCAATAAAAACGTACAAAAATTTACGTTTTGTGCTTGTAAATATTACGTATTAATACCTA